GACTGCTTGAAGAAGTTGGACAGTGGAGTAGCTCGCAAGCGACGCAATTGGGCCACCCAGCAAAAGGCCGAGGTTAATAAAATAGAAATGGCGAATCAGCTGAAGAGGTCCTGGCAGAACTTGTTGAAGGATCATTTTGAAGAGGCAATGAGGACACCCTCATCAGCACCGCCATTGATGGCGAATCCCTTCGTTAGAACTGCGGGACAATTAATGTTCACCTGGAGTCTGGTGGGAATAGAGTTGGAGACATTGACCTCGTATGACAGGCTGAAGTTGGGAGGCAAGAAGCTAGATGTCTATCAAGCACTGATGCAACACGTGGCCAGGGATAATTCAGGCTTGAGCCTGGCTAGGAGGAAGGACGCCACATGTTTCTTGAGATGGATAATGTCAATGATGTCTGACAGCACAATCTTGGCATGCCACCAAAGAGCGAGCGGAAGTAAAACCGTGGAAAAAAGAGTCTCAACGATCATCTTAAACGTGTATCAGAGTACTGGTATAGAAAAAGAAGATGGTTCCAGACTATCCCTAGAGAACCACAGAAAGCTGGACGAGGTACGGAGAGTTTATAATAAGAAGTTCGAACAAGAGCATGATGTTCACCGTAACCTGGCCTCGTCAGAGCAGTACTCGAGACCCAGCGAGAAGGGGGAATACCAATACGTGTCAGGAGTGATGGGAATAGCCTACAACCCCTTCTTAGACTCAGAAACTGGAGGCGCTCACAGGAACCACGAGGTGGCGGAGCTACTGAAGTTTTGGACAGAAAGAATAATGGAAATAGACGCGGTGGAGAAAGAGGGGCCGAGCCTGGGCCTGATTCTTGAAAAAACACCGGAGGTGGTGAGCATACCGCGCTCGAACAAGAGAGTTGAAGTGAACATGGGTGATGGCAATGGCTTGCTGATCACGAACTTGGGAGTGGTATGGAAGTTACTAAGACCCTCCTGGTGCCCACATCCCCACGCGAGTCTGATCGAGGAGACCACCGAACGGGTGAGGTTAGCTCCAACGGAAGATGAAGATTTGGCAAAGTTGAGTGTGGTGCACAAACTGATCTTACCTCAGATGAAGGAGTCAGGCGAGAAGACGAACAGTCTCGAGTCAGCCAAGAAGATGGAGCCGGGTAGCTGTCTGGATTCTACGTGTGGGAGTGGAGAGCACACCTGCGATGGACGATCATGTGTCAGGGTATTGTCCTTTCAAAAAGAAGATCTGGTTACTTGGTTTGAAGACATCACAGAAAGGGAGAAAAGTGAAGTGCAAATAGTTGCGGAGTGTTACGCGAGAACTACGGTGAATATAGCGACAGCTCTCGGATTCTTCTCGAGAATGTGTAGTCTGCAGTCACTGGAGAGGCTAGAGTCTGAACACCAATTAGTGACGGCGTTGAGCGTGGAATCATGGCCGGGAGTGTTGCAGGTGACTCAAAAACATATCCGGAGCTGGAAGGTTGGTCTCGAGGCGGAAATGGGGTTCCCATGAGCGAAGCTTATGGCCTACCATTGAACGCAAAATCCCTGATAGGATCAATGATGGCCAATTTGTGCGGAAGCCACTACCCACTGCACATGGCGATGGTGGAAGCATCCAGCCAGAGAATATTGGTGGACAAGGCCTTCTCAGTGCCCAAGTGCGTGAGGTTGGCTCGGATATCGCATCACTCGCACAAGTTGTTGAAAAAAATCAGAGGGACAGTACCAAAAGAATTGAGAGATGACTTGAGTGAAATCTGGGGAGAAGAACTTTCGAAGTTGGAGAGTGAGAACACAAGCGATCACGAGAGACAAAACGTGATCGGAAAACCTGTGGGAGGTGCTCCAAACATGGAAGATAACGACACGATGCATGAGAAAATGATAGAACTTGAGCCTCTCTTGGAAGCCTCGGGGGAGCGTAACCTCAGGAGCATTGAGATCACCCATGGAGAATGCCCATGCCACTGTTTGGCACAAACGGTGTGGTATCCAGATCACAAGAACCTTTGCCTGGTGTGGGATATGGAAGAAATTCGGTCGATCGGACTACCGGATCACCGGCAGAAGGTGACGCTCTTAGTAGTGAGTACGATGTTGGCTCTGAGATGGATAGAAGAGAATATAACGAAGTATCGGGAAGCGACGACGCCAACGGCTGAGTCAATATATGCGATAGACTACAGCAGGAGACTAGAGTTGTTTGAGACTGCGTGCAAAGTATTCGCCATACCAACGGAAGTCAGACACGTATGGAGCCATTTGAGGTACTTTCCATGGTTTCGGGCGACGCTGACGTCTTGGTTGTACATGACAACGAAAAATCACATGAGAAAGCATCAAAAGGAGTATCGACAGTTCCAGGCCGAGATTGGGCCGGAAGCTTTCAAGAGACCCCTGTTAACCCATCGAAATGCGATCACGACAGGATGGAAGAGAGTGGGTAAAATGTCTAGAGACAATACCAAAGCGAGGGAATCGATACTAGAGGAGGACCTGGCGAAGAACGTGAGCTTGAGCCTGCACAACTCCTTTTGTTTGAACCGGGAATCTAGGGTGAAGGCACTACCCAACCAGGCAAAGAGGTTGCAGGAGCAAAGAGAATAGATGCGATCCTATGAACAGCTGAAGGCTTGGGAGGAGATCGTGATTAGCTCCGATGATGAAGAAGAACTGTTGAGACAGTTTGCCGTATCTAGTACTTCAGGGTGCGGCACCTCCAAGGCGAAGGGTGAGAGATGAGTGGATGGTTCGAATGGATCTTGAGTCTTGAGAGGGAAGGGGGGCTTGAGTGTGGATCCGGGTGAAACCTGGGTTCACGAAAAAGAAATTTTAACAAATCAGATATTGTTATTAATATGCTATATCTATTATATAAATCAAAATGCTGCATGACAATTTCCTAATTGAATGGGACAAAAGAAATTTTAAATAATTGGCTTGAAAAGCGAGAATTCATAGGTGCAGGTGTGTGCAGATTTTGATTGCTGTTTAGCGATAGTGTGAAAACTTTACATGGCCGTGAATTTTGGGGTGTAGATAAGCTTAAGTCTGCTGCAAACTTCTGTAAATGACCACTGGCACTGTACCTTGAGCAACACTCTGTTTTTGGGCAGACGACAGCACGCGATGAGGACATCTATCTCGAGTCCGGGGAGTATGTGCCAGTCGGTCATATTTGGAAGTTTGGCCTTGAGAGAAGCAAAAAACACTTGATTTTGGAGTGAAATTTAATTTTTCAAAAATTCGAATGGAGCCGGTCATGCACGATTTTCTCGCGATAACTGAAAGTCGAAAAAGAGAATTCAGAACAATCGAGTAACAATTGCGGGAAAGTTGCAAGAAAAATCAGTAGGAAATTGCTATTCGCAATTTCCGTCACAGTAATAACCTAGAGTAGAGCTGTCCCATTCGAAACAGAGACAAGTGTATTCCCACTAACTGGATTTTTGTGACTTGACTGGAGTATTATTCTAAACTGGACTAGAGTGAACCTTCGGTGGAAAGGTGGACAGCTTGAGTGTCCCAATGGTCCACATAAAACTGCATTCTAGAGCACAAACTTATTCCTGTTGTTGAAACTAACATACATTAAACTCATTTAGTTACACTATTTAATTCTTGAGTTGCTTACAGACTTAATTACTCCCAATTCTTGAGCGTGCTACAATGTGAATACCAATTTAAATTTCTAGAGTGTGTTTTATAATTGTTATGTTGAGGTAAGGCGAGTTTTAGGTTGATCCATCTGAAATGGATCAAAGTTCCACTGTCTAATAAAAAGTAACTTAATGGATTGTTCCGACCCGGTTTTTAACGGCGTTCGTGTATTTTGGGTATCTAGAGACCTAAGTATGGGACGTTCTTAATTCTAGAGTGGGGGGATATTTTAGTAGTAGCCTTTAAGCTGTAACGGGTCGTAGTCTCATGTCACAAACGAACCGAATTGGCTCCGACTGATTTGAGGTAGAAAAACACAAGAGATAGTGTCCCTGACTCTTGAGCCAATGGTTATAGGGCCTATTTTTCTTAAGCCTCATGTGTGACTGCAGAAGACGAATGTTACATCTAATCGTTCGTATTTCTCGTCTGACTCCCTCTGTCTAACTTTTATGTCGTTGAGAATTTTCTTCTTCGGTTTTTGTCGTTTTCAATGTGTGCGAAATTTCGACGTTTCACGTGTCTTTCTTTTCGAACGAATTTTTGAAAATTAACATGTTAGCTCAAACTAACCCTTCCTCGTTGGTTAAAATGCACGATTAATCACTAATTCGTTTAAACCGTTAATCTTCCCACTCCGATGTCACCAAAAAAATGATGTCAACACTTGTCATCTTCTTTTATCATTATCACTTCCATATCTAGAAAATTCCAAGGATTTTGACTGGAATACGTGATGAAGGGACTCCTGACTGTAACCTCGGTTACTATGATACTTTTGACCTTCTGATTAAATAAAAAGAAAAAAATCAAAAGCCGTTGAGTGCATGAATCCCTCGTTGTCTATACCCAGTTGTCTGCAACAATTTCAACACCTAATCTTCCTCTCCGCTTACCTAGGTTTTTTTTGCACTTGCCCTGACTGTCTTATTAGAACTCAAATCATTCAAATGCTCAGAAACCCTCTTCTCATCTGAAGTAAAAGACTATTATTTTTTCAAAAAATGAGAAAACTTTCTTACATTGGAAATGTTTGTTTTTGCGCGACAAGACCCGAGCTACTAAAGACATGTAGCGAAGCCTTGTTTTTAAAACCCTAGCCGGTACTAACGAAATAATGCGATCATTCGACCGGTCCTAGATTACACTGCCCCAGCGTGTTCACGAGCAGACGATACTATCTCCTTTCAAAGTTTTTAACATAAATTTTTTGGCGCGTTTAAAGATTTACTTCGTAATTTTAGATCTGCTCTAGCAAGTGGTCTGCTGTACGGCTAGTCTGATTGTAGATGCTAGCGCAGAAATTTCTTATATCATGACCTAGATTAGACGACTTATAAGTGTTTTTTTTTCAGATATGTCATATTAGTTGAGGCTATGAATATTTTCACTATCGGTGCCGTTACGGGCACGACTTTTGGGGAACGGGAATCGATATTTGAGGATTCTGACAGATTCGAAGAGGAGTCTTTAGATTCAACCACAAGTGACCAAGATATGTCACATATAACTTGGAGAGGATGGAATCAAAGTCAGGCTATCCGTGTACAAGCTTTTAATGATCTGGAATCTGGAAGCTCAGGTTTGTTTTGTTTCCTTTGGAGTTCACTCTTTTAAGTTAATTCACTGAAGACAATTTTAAGAAAGAGGAGATATATAGCCAGGCGCAATATATGACATTGCGTTGTTTGTTTATTTTATTGGCTTCAAAGGTTTCGTTTTATTTTACATTGGTTTTGTGCCCTCTTACTAGGTCATGTGAGTTAATAATTGTCTGAAGTGAGTGTTTTTTTGAGGGAGGGAAATTAATATCTTTTCCAGTTTCAAATTATGAGTGATTACCTTTGCGATAAGCAAGGTTATTGCAATAGGATACTAGACCTTTTTTTCCCCGTACATAACTTCGTTCACAAGACTCATCATATATGGACTTCTGGACTCATCTCTAGGGTGCCTTTTTTCATATTTAATTCAAATTTCTTAGCGTTCCCGGCTCTTTTAGCCTGTAATTATTGAGTACGCATGGGAAGCAAAGGTCTTTTGGAATCTGACCTGGAAACATCAGACATCGCAGCCAGAGCACAGAAGATCAGCGACGTACTCAAAGCCCCAGCAGGTATAGAATGGGGCAGCGACCGTGAAACTCGCATGACTCAGTGCAACTGTTAGATCTGTCACCAACTACTGCTGCCTCGATCATCAAAGACTACCACTGGAAACGACTCCCACTGGCTCAGAACAAAGCAATCGGAATAATAAAAGGATGCTACAACAGTAGTAGGCAGTACCAAAAAATTAACCCAGGGGAAGGGGGGTTGAGCTTGGGCACGAAAAGGAACAGGAGGAAACTTTTCTAGATTATTCTAGAACGTTTAAAAACGGATCATGAATTCTAGAACGTTTCAAAACGGATCATAAACATAAATTCTATTTTACAATACTCCAGAACATTTTGCTCCTGCTCGTTTCCGCGCCCGAGTTCACCTGGGGTTCAGCTTGGTTTACTATCTACTGCTTACAACATAAATATTGACAACCTAGACAACGAAGTAAGAGTTCTCCTACTCAAAGATCACACACATATGCTTACACAACATCAATTGGTACGTTTCGAGGCACCAGTCTTTCACTTACTAACAGGCCCCTCTACACCGACCGCACATGTTACCAAACCTGTTCTACAAGAACGAAAACTAGCTACCGAATGGAAGAATCTACGAAAAAGAAGCAAAAGTACTACCAAAAACCATACACGCGCAGATCGTCATCGAAGTCAATAGCAACCTCAGACCGACCCCTGTTTATAGAAGCGCACAGCCAGAATTATATGAAACAAAGTTCTTACCAAGAGTCTGCAGAACACGCCTAGCACAACTCAGAAGCGGATATTTTCGTATTTTATAATTAAATATGTCAAGAACTGATAAAGAAATAGAAGACGTCTGCCCAAACTGCAACAACGCCGCTCACACAATCCAGTAGTTCTTTGAGTGCCCGGCAAACCCAACAGATTCGACGGTTGATGCACTCCGGAAGCGACCAGTGGAGGCATCAGCTTTTTAAAACTCAAAGACGACAAGAAAGACGGCGGCTAGAAACAACAGTGACTGTTTTTTCAAACGGAAAATATTATGTTTCGACGTTTCAACTAAAATTTTCCGCCAAAATTTGTTTGCTTATTTTTTGTCGGCCTAGTTACCGCAACTTGGAATCGTATTTTTTTTTTTACCGCGCGCAGGTTTTGTTGCTTCTAATGTTTGATTTACTTCTAATGAACTTACTTTGACATTGTATTTCCGTTTTTATTTTGCTTTAAATTTTATTCGGCCTTAGTTGATTGGCCTTTTTTCAATCAACTGAGTGGCCAAACTTTCGGTCGTTTCTAGGAAAACTCGCTTTTTACGTTCCCCTCTGCGTTTAATAAGATAGTTGCGTTTTGTTTCACTCGGTTTTGGCTTGTTTTATAGCGGCTTAGTAGATTCTTTTCAGGTTTCTTGATGCGCGAGAAAAATTTTGAAAAATTTTCGACTTGTTTCTGCACAGCTATTTTCGGCTTTTTCACTGCATGGTTAATTTTGCTCCCATACTGATTCTGCATTCTTTTGTTTGAGCATATTTTTTTACAAGTATCTTCATGAATTTTGATATATCTAGTATATCTAGTTGTATCGCAAATTGTGAGAACCTCAGCTTTTTGTGGTGATCCTTTTACATTTGCGAGAGTAATGGTCTTGTAATCGGGACTTAGTCTTTTTTCCCTGCAACTTTTTTAAGAAATTGAGCTTTCTTTATTTTTGAACCTTAACTACTTCCAGGTTACTGCCCACTTGGAATGTAGGTAGGTAACACGGTTGCTTTTGCCCTTCAATGTCTGGGGCTCCATTTCATGTAAGATTTTTTTCTCAGTATGTATAAAGTTGAATTGTCTGCTCAAGTTTTTTCGACTTAGATGCCACATCCCGGCAAGTATCATAGTAGTTGTAAGTGTTCTTTTTTGTAGTTTCAGGGAAGACTTCAACTTTTAAAGTTTTAAGTTTTTCGGCTCAACTGGTGTCTGTTCAAAGATTGTCGAGTTTGTCTCCGCTTCGCAAGTTTGTTCCGTTAATAATTTAAAATTCAAATGTTCCGTTAGCCATGTTTGTCTAGATTTTTTGTTTGATTAAGAAAATGCATGGGATAGGTTTTTTTTTTAATTCTATAAAAAGTTAGGGTCCTCGGAAAGGTCAAGTATTTGATTTTTGGAAACTTTTTGAACTTTCTAGAAAGCTACCCTCCCAAATCTGACATTTTGGTTTAAACGGAGAGAACGGTTTGTGAGAAGCTCGCCTGAGTTAGTGGCTTTGTCCATACTTTTCATAAACAAAAAAATTGACGTCCTTCAAATGGTCATATTTGTGATTTTTGACCGTTTTTTGAAATTTTTTGACATTTCCCGAAAACTAGCCTCCCTAATCTAAGATTGTGGATTTAATGGAGAAAACGGGTTTTGGGAAGCTCCATTGTATTAGTGGCTGCGCCCAAATTGTTGTAAACAAAAAAGTGATTGTCCTCAAAACGGTCATATTTGAAACTGTTTGACCGTTCTTTGATTTTTTTTTTACTTTAAAACTACCCTCCCAAATCTGAGATTTTCAGTTCAACCGTAAGAGCAGGTTGGTTGAAGTTCTCCTGCTTAAAAGGTTACGTCCATTTTTTCCCCACAAAAGGAATTGGTCTTCGGTAAAGTGAAGCTCCCCTATTTAAGAAACTATGCAAAGTTTTTTTTCACAAAAAGAGTCGTGGTCCTCATAAAAAAACGATTTATGGTTTTTGACAGTTTTTTTTTACTCGAAAACTGCTATCCGAAATCTAATGTCTTTGAGAAAATTAGAAGTTCTCAAAAAGTTTCGCTCTTATTTTATTAGAGAAACAACAAAGGTTTTTGTTGAACTCAATTTTTAATTTTTGAATATATATTGATATTTCCCGCATCATTACAGCAAATTCAAAAGTCATCAAACAGGTTCCTTCAGCTACCGCAGTTCCCCGTACACATGAGATAGGGTTTCTCAAGCCATTTTGAAAATATTTTCTATTTTCAATTTTTTTTGTTTTGTCCGTGAATTATTTGTTTTTTGAAATCTTCGAAGTTTGTGTTGCAAGTTTTTGAAAATTAATTGCTCGAAATGTTTTTGACCGAAATGTCTTGTGGAATTTTTTGTTTTCGGCTCAATGGGCGTCTGCCCACTTTTTATTCGCATAGTGGCCGCTGGGTAAATACAAAAATCTTAATTAATATTGGTGGTTGTTTGTGAGTTTGTTATTTCTGTCTCGTTTTCTATTCGCTTTTCTTTTTGCATTGTATCGCAAGTGATGCGAAGCTCCGCTTCGCTTGTGTATGGAATTTGGTGGAATGGATTAGTTGAACAAACGGGATGCGGATCAAATCTAAATATTTGACATTTTTTGTGCGCATGTTATAGGTAAGAAGGAACTGACTGCGCCCGAGACTCTTCTAGAGATCTGCTCTCGAAAGGTTGCAGAACATTTTCCTTTTGAAGCGATAGAAAGATACAACGAACCCATCCCGGTGGACGTGCAGCTTAGAATATCGTTCTGGAGTTTTCCTTCTGCCGCATCCGACATTCGGCTTTATTCGTGCCTGGCGAACGGGAACTCGGACGAATTCTGTAAAGGAGAGTCGATAAGTGCCTCCCGTAACGCCGTCTCTAAGATCCTGCAGATTGGATTTTACCTGAGTGGCCAAATCAGAGTTCCATCCGCCCTTAGCACTCTCGCCAATTTGGGAAAATCCGAATGCCTTACGGTGTCTGTAACATTTGATAGGAAGCGGATTACGCATACGAACTGCGCTTGTCAGTCAGAAGTGCAATGGTGTCGACATGTTGTGGCGCTGTGTCTATACAGAATCGAACATCCGCTTGAAGCTGAAGTTCGTGCGCCTGTTTCTGAATCTTTGTCCAGGTTACAGCGGGACCAGTTGCAAAAGTTTGCACAGTATCTCATTTCCGAGTTGCCAACGCAAGTGTTGCCTACGGCTCAAAGGTTGTTAGACCAGTTATGCGGATATGCACCTTCTGATATTAAGATACCTGTTAATCAGAGACAAGAAGCGGACTCAAATTTACTGAGTCCATCATCTATGCCTATTAATTTGATCCAAGGTGCTCCAGATCCAACCGCTGGATCCTCGATTGACGATGTCAGTATGTGGACCTTAGATGAAGATAAACTTAGCTCTAAACTAAAGAGGACATTGTTAAAATTTGTCCAAATAATGCCAGCGTCAGTTAGTGATTTTGGCCAGGTGTATCCGCAATCAGCTACTCCGCCAGCCAGTAGCGAATTCAACACCTTGTTAAGACCAATAAGAGGCAAGGAGCCTGAACCTGTTTGGAATCTGCTCTCCATTATTCGTGAGTTATGTTCACGACAGGATCCGAACGCCATGTTGCTTCTTGATATCATCACGCAGCAATGTGTAAATATAGACTCATTGGTGATTTGGTGGTTCACATCTCGCACTGCTGCTCATTACTATCCGAACTCAGCGACTCGAACGAACGCCGCGAATTCTAATCGCAATCGCACTTCGGGATCAGTAGTTTCGAGTACTGTGGCGGGACAGCAGTGCTGCGCAACTCTCATGGACGAAATCGTAGATCTTTGGACTTTGCTGCTGTTAAATCCGAGATTAGGAGTCAATGAAAAGGCTTCGCTAGTTCAAACAATGAGACTCTATCATGTCTTTTGTATTCACAAGATTCAGACTAATCAAGGAACTAGCTTGCAATTCAAAAGGAACGAGCTGCGTAACTTTCAGGTGATCTATAGATTAAATGTAATGTCCAACAAACGCGAAGAACCTAAACTAGATTCAGAATGAAGAATTAAACTCAAAAATTAGATTCAGATTGAGAAATGGCCAGAGTGAGGTTTCCTGATTTGTTTGATGAAAAATGTGCAATTGCATACATTATTAGGATGCTTTAAGATTTTTTGGCCTAAATAGATATCTAGATGTCAAAGAATTAACGCTGGTATTTTGCATACCTCAAATCAATGATAGCACAAAAAGTATTGGAAAAAATTAGAAAAAATTTTAGTGCCGGCAATTTTTTACGACACTTTTATAAAGTAGGGGTAGCGGAAATCCAAAGAAGCCAGAATTTCTGACCGATTATCGTAACGTTTTATTTATTTTTAGGAAACATGAAAATTAACATGTAAATTTTTCATGAAAATTAACTACACGAAAATTAACTACATTAAAATTGACAAATTGAAACTATAATTTTTTTTGTTTGTTTTAGGGCTTCAAACCAGTGATCAAAGCTGCCATGTCTGAATTCCCTGCTCAGTTCTACACTGAGTCAATGTTTAAATATAACAACCCTGTGATTCTGAGCTCGTCTCAACTGCTTTACACATATCCACGAGTGAACAACGTCATAGAAACAGCACAAGGCATCCATGAAACTATGCTGAAAAAGAGCCAATTGGCTGCAGCAGCGGCTGAACAAGCGAGACAGGCCAGTGAGTTAGCAACAGGATCAGTTGAAGGTCAAAATATTTCTTCTGAGATGTTAATGGACGATGAAGACGACTATTATGACCAAGATGAAGACTTGAATCAGTCTATCGAAGGTGTAGACGCAACTGCATTCCAGGATGGAGAGCTTTATGGGTTCGAGAATCGAGTCGAAAGTGGCGGCGGAGAAAGACTGGGGCTGATAAATCAGCATCAAAGTGACTCGATCGACGAGGGATTAGACACGTCGAGTAGAAGAGCTTCAATTACGTCATCAGGATTGCGTAATTCATATGGAGGTAAAATTACGTTTCAATAACATTTAAAAAAGAATTGATGAGCTTTCCATCTTTAGAAGTTGTATTTGGAAAGGTTTGCGGATAGTGTCTTTTCTATATTGTTTGAAAAATTCTCAGCAGAGTTGATTGATTGACGCATGACTTTTGACGTCTATTTTAAGAACTTGTTTCAAGTCAATTTCAATTGAAATTGCTCAATTGAGCCCAACTGAATTCAAATTTATTGCTAATGTGGCAGTGTAAAGGAAAGTTTGCGTTTGAGCCTGAGTATTGGTTCAAATCTGCAAGGTTAAAAAATTGATTTGTCGGATTTTTGTTTGTCTGTTTTAAGTTTTATCGGCTTAGTTGCGGCAGCGCGGATTTTTCTTGTGACTTATGCACTTTTCATTGCAGTTGCAAGTGTTCTTCAGTGTAATTTCAGGGGAACTTAAAACTTTTGAAAAACTTTTTTTTCGACTTGTGTGGTATTGCAAGTGAAAATAGTGGAGTTAAATTATTGAACGAAATTTGATTTTCGATGAATCTAAGTGTTAAATTAAAAAAAAACGTGATCAACTTCTACTTTCGAAAGTGGTTTTTATTTTTCAGATTTCCCAGCAGAATAAAAACTTCACCTTTTAATCCAATGTTCTCAAATTGAGTTAATTTTATCAAAAAAGTCTCAAACCTAAGTTTTTCTTGTAGCTTGAAAAGCTTCAAGATCATATATTTTTTCTTCAAGTTTTTGTACTGTAGACTCTAATCCAAATTTATTAAACTTGCGAGAGCAAGTGTCTTATTGAGATTTAGACTTTTTCCTGTAAACACCTTTCTTAGAAATTTTATTTCCTTTTCTTACTTGCTGTGTTTTGTACCTAAACACTTCAGATTTGTTCTCACTTGGAATTAAAATTTAAAAGATTTTTAAATATTTTTTCGGCTTAACTTGTGTCTGCTCAAAGGTTATCTACTTGGTTTCTTCTTTGTAAAATTTGTTCCGTTGCTACTTACGCTTGCGATAAGCAGGCTTTATCCAACTGGAATACAGAGTTTTTTCGGGGTATCTTGGCTTATAATTAATTGTATTTTGGCTTATAACTTAGCCTGGAGGTAACGAATATGCTTGGGACTGCAAAGGTCGTGGGTTCGAATCTGTCTAGGATATGTTTTTTTTTTCAAACGGGAAATGTTTTGTTTCAAATAAAATTCCCGGCCAATTATGTCTGCTTTATCTGTTGTCGGCTTAGTTGTCGCATCTTGAAATCGTTTTTTTTTTGCTGCGCGCATTTTTTTTATGTTCCTTTTAGTGTGTGATTTACTCCTACAATTTGATTTTACTTAACTTGACTTAGTTTTTCCTGCTTTGTTTTTTTGTTTCGCTTAGAAAGTTCCGCGGTCCAAATTATTTCGGCCTATTTTTTATCGGCTTAATGACATAATTTTGGGTCGTTTCAACGAAAAGACAACTTGAACACTCCCCTCCGCATTTTTATTTTTGGTTGTCTGTTCACCAATCAGTTTGTTGGAATTTTCTTTATTTTCATTTTGGAAAATTATTTCATTGGAATGAAATTCTTTGGAAAAATTTTAGTTTTTTTTTTAAAAAACTTCTGGTTTTCAAAAAGGGGTATTAGTTGAAAGACCGCCTACTCCACTGTGTGCCTCTGTGTACTCCTCTAGTTTCTCTTTCTACTTGATCCCTCTGTCTACAGCCCTCTCAAATCTGAGTTTTTGGTTTCAATGAATGGAACGGTTTCAAAAGTTCCCTGCATGAATCTTTTTTGCACATAAAGTTATGACCCTCGGAAAAGTCAAAATTTTGATTTTTTGACGTTTTTTTTTTATTTTTTTTTATATTTCTCCAGAACTACCCTCCCAAATCTGAGATTTTGGTTCAATCGAAATTACAGGTTGACTGAATTCCTTCTCCATAAGCGGCTACGATTCATGCTATGATTCATGGGAAATGTCAAATTTTTGATTAGTTGTTCGATTTTTGGATTTTTCTCGCCAAATATCCTGCCAAATCTGATACGTTTAATCTGAACGACAGGTTGTTGAAATCCTACCTTTATAACTGGCTATGCTCAGTTTGTTAAAGAAAAAAGTTATGGCCTTCAAACAAGTAGAAGTTTTGAAAATGACAGTTTTTTGCAATCTTTTTGACTATACGCGAAAACTACTGTGCAAATTCTCAAGTTGTGTTCAATCGAGAAACCCGGGGAAATGTCATCTCCTTGGAAAAATTGATCATCTCGAAATTTTTTACTCTTCTTTCTTTAAATGATTTTTTCCAAAACTGTTAATATTTTTCGCAATGGAAGTTGATACGACTGATCCTGTTAATTTTGCGATAATTGAACTTCAAGCCTGGGACAATCATTTATTATATTGTTCCAAGAAATTAGCTTTTTTTTCAGGTATTTTTTGGTTAGCTTCTTAACTCATTTTACTTCAAGTTAATATGGAAAATATTCCGTACTTGCCGTATGTTATGAAAGTTTGGGTTGTACTGCAGTTTTTTTATTTTGTATTCAGTGTCTATTCTGCCTGATGTGGCGCGAAGCTCAGCTTCGCCTCTGTGTATAAGTTGTTCATGCTCAAATTTGTTTTCGCTTTTATGTTTTTTCAAGTTCGATCCGAATTCATATCGTAAAAGGCAAATTAAGCTCTCGAAAAGAAAAAAATGGTCAAATGGCGCAAAAAACGAGAGAAAACTTCAATTGGCGTAAAAACTGTTCATGAATGACTTGTAGTTTCTGAAAAACATTTTATTTTGCACAATTCCCATTGAACGACAAATATCTATTGATAGAGTTTTCATAAAAGGTCTTAGTTTCATCGAAACTTTTATAAATACATTTTCGAGCGCGTGTCGTGTAGTCAGAAACTGGAATTTTTCAATTAAACAACTTTCCCATATCTTAGAGCGCTTTATTTTGATTACTAAAATTCCTACGAATAATATGAGTTACCGACACATGCTGATCAATCTATACCTTATTTAATTGGCGTTTCACTTAAGACGTTTAAGAAGTACCATGTTGACTCCTTTAAGAAGTCACTGTGTTGACATATTTAAGCTTTTTGAACGTATTATTTTTTGCATATTTAACAAAAGATTTTTTGCCCGTTTAAGCTATATCGTATTTTGTAATGCTTAAGATATTTCAATCTTTATCTTTGTATAGATCTATACATTATTTAATTAGCCTTTCACTTGAGACATGTTTAAGAAGTCCTTATTTTGACATATTTAAGAAGTCCTCGTGTAGACATGTTTAAGCTTTTTGAACGTATTATTTTTGCATGTTTATCAAAAGATTTTTTGTGCGTTTAAGCTGTGTCGTATTTTGTGATGCCTAAGAAGTTTCAATCTTTATCTATGTATTTATACATTATTTAATCGGGGTTTCACTTGAGACGTGTTGAAGAAGTACCTATTTTGACATATTTAAGAAGTCTATGTTGGCATATTTAAGCTTTTTCAACGTATTATTTTTTGCATGTTAAACAATATTTTTTTTGCACGTTGAAGCTATATCGTGTTTTGTACTGCTTAAGAAATCTCAATTCGCACATGTTTAAGAAGTCGCTATGTTGGTCTGTTGAATATTCAAAACATTGCAAGGGTTGAAATGCTTAATCAACTCTACATTTTTTCTATATTCGCAACGTAAAACTATCAAATTTTTTTTTGTATCACAATTTATATAACTAATTTTTGCATATTAGTTTCTCAACTTTCTAGTGGTGTGCTGTCGGTGTACACTCATAGATTGCATATCTGGCGTCCAAGTATGACTGCTGAACTCCTTTTGGTTTTCGAGATATGGTGTTTTTTATGATTTTTAATTTTTTTTTTGGAAATAACTTATACAAAAATTCCAAGCGAACTTTTTCTTTTTCTCAGCGCTAAGACGGAGTCCTGTCAGTTACTCAGTAGCGTTGCAATTCTGCCCCCAAATAATTCTTTTAGTGTTCGAGATATGGCGCTTTTATGATTTTCTCAATTTAAAAAAAAAGACTTTTTTCCCCTTTTCTTACAAGTTTTCAACCTGCTTTATTATTGAATCTTAACAAATTCCATGTTTCTTCTGCAATTGGCCTAGAGCTAACGCTGTTGCTTTTGAACCCTGAGGTCAGGAGGTTAGAGTCTCTGTCGGACCTTATTTTTCAGCAGGTTTGCGATTGAATTTTTTTCCGGAAAAAAATTGGTTTGTCGGACTTTCGTTTATCTGCTCAATTTTTGCAGATTAGCTGCCATATTAGGGATTTTTCTTGTCTTCTAAACAAGTCTCATGGTATTTGTAAGTGCTTTTCTTTGTAGTTTCAGCGGACTTGAAACTTTTTAAAGTTTTTTTTATAAAATCTTTTTTCGGCTCAACTGGTATGTGCTCAAAGATTGTCGGCTATGTTTCCGCTTCCTCACTTTTGTTCCGTTGCTAATTTACAATGTAAATCTCATGCTTGGCATGTTTTCCTAGAATTACTGCTTGATAAAACAGGTATTATGAAAATATATGGGATTGGTTTTAACTTTTTTGAGACGCTTCGGATTTTTTTTTTTTTACAAATGTTTGTTTTTCTCAAAAACTATTCTCCCGATTTGGAGAAAAGGGTATCACTGGAGGGACTGCCCACTCATTTCAATCGGTTATCGCCTTCGGAAACATATGTTTTCCTCGAAAACTATTTTCCCGATTTGCACGAAAGGGGTGTCAATGGAGGGACCGCCTACTCATTTCTTCGCTTATGGCATTCAGATTTTTTTAAGCCTTTTTTGACCATTTTTTAAACTTTTCTCGAGAGCCACTCTCCCAAATCTGAGTTTAAGGGTTCAATCAAAACTACAGGTTGCTTGAGTCTCTTTTGCATAAGCGCCTAAGCCCAATTGTTTTTACACAAAAAACTATGATTCTCGGTAAACTCAAATTTTTGATTTGTTGGCTGCTTTTTGGAACCTTTCACGACTTTTCTCGATAACCATCGTGCCAAATCTGGTATCAAGGGTTAAATTGAATCAACGGGTTGTTGAAAGCCTTACATTATAAATGGTTACGCCCATTTCTGAAAGGAAAAAGTAATTGCCTTCATTGTCTTGAAACTTAGATCATTTTTTGGAAACTTTTTGACTTTTCTCGAAAACTACACTGCCAATTCTTAGATTCACTGGTTAATCCTGTTTTGGGAAACTTTTACTGCTGAAGTGGCCTTGGCATACTTTTGGATTTCGGAAAATGAAATTTTTGAACGTTATATTGTTTTTTTAGAAACTTCTCGAAAAGTTTTTGACCTTCCTATGAGTGCAATCTAAAGAACTGGTCGCGAAAATTATTTTAATAGAAGTGGTGACTTTTGAATTTCCAATATCTCAAGTTTTTCACTCTTCCCGTTTATTTTAGTAGAGAAACAATTAAGGTTTTGGGCAAAGTAGTTTTTTTAAAATGACCATTTCATGCTGCATCAGCATGAAAAATTCAATAATTATCAAACACCTACCTCCAGATTTAGCTGGCTCGTAATTAAATTTAATCGAGACATACTAAAATGTTCACCCGTTTTTTTTTTCAACTATCTTCATTTTTTTAACTTGTTTTTTTCATGATTGTGTTGTATGGCAAGCCGCTTCCCCTCTGTGTATATAATTTTTCATCTTTTCTTTTTAAAGATTTTGGCTGATTTTAAAGCTGTTTAGTTGTCTCATGTAACATCTTTTGAGGGACAAAATGTGTTGTTATGCGTTAAAACCTTTCTGCTAACAGGTTTTTTCGCTCAACGGTTGTGGACCCAATGTCGGCTTAGTTTACGCCTTGATAAATTTTGTGTCTATGCTTAATTAACTCTGGCAATTGTGTTTTACACAGGTTTTCCTAAAATTGAGCATACTCAATGCAAATGAATCGAAATTTTGGTTTTGCCTTATGGTTGTTGCCTCTTTTGGCTCGTTGCAGTGCTATTTTTGTGTTCTATCGCTAGTGGTGCGACGCTTAGCTTCGACTCTGCCCTAAAAATTTCATAAAGTTCAAAGAGTTTTGAGGCGATCTGTCTTTTTTTGAAAGAAATGGTCAATCATTTTTCCTGTCTCCTTGAGTTCATTCGCACTTTTCGAACTGCCTTGACTGTTGGCTATGTTTTTTGTAACTTATAGCGAATCTGGACTTCCCTCCAATTACACATTTCAACGCCTTCCTGGGCAATGAAGCGAGCAACGAGGCCAGCAGCTCCTCCAGCCAAAGAGGCGGAAATCAGTCTGCCTCTGATTCTCTCAGGGCACCCTTGGACGACCATGACAACGAGGACCTCCAAAGAAGAGGCAGGCAGCTCCCGACGGTGGTTGGAATAAGTGGGGGCGTCTCCGCTGGAAAAGGAAAGTTGTCAGCATCGAAAAGTGTAGCGAGTGGAACTAATGTGAAAAGTGGCAAGAATAGAGTGTTCGACATATTTGCCGATTTGGTGCCTATCAAGTGCAATATTGAGGTGTGAAATAAATATTAATATCATGAGTTCTAGAATCAGATAAGCAAAATTTCATTTCATTGCAATCTCTTATGGCTGATACTTATTTTCCGTATAGATTCATAACCTTTCATAAGCTCAAATCTTAGCGGAAGCTTTGAAACTTATGTTTAAGTTGCTTCATCTTCTGATGGAGTCCTTGCATGCCCACAACTTCCGGGAGCAAGCATTCGCTGTGGCCACAGAACTGGCTGATGCCCTTGTTAACAACTGTCCAGACTTGTTAGCTGACCCCCCTCCCCACACCAGATTCAGACGCAAGATCAGATACGAACTTAGTGCTAGAGCATGTCAGATCCTGCAGAAGATAGTATCCGTGGTAAATGTGTTGTCTGAGAAGGCCGAACTGAAAACTCAGGCTTTCAAGTTGGGAGTTTGTGGTCTGGAAATTGCGAGGTTGCCGTCTCCTTCCAAAATGTTCGAGGTGTGTATATTTTGTTATTAAGAGTCGATGTACGTAGTTCAGACTCTTAAATAGGTGGTGATGATTTTGTTTCAGGAAAATATTAAAATTTGTTCAGGCTCAAATTTATTTTTTCGTGGTTTGACTTGTGATTTCTTTCTAAGTTCAGTTCATTTCCATTGAACGGCAAAAATGTAAAGGTTACGAAAAACGTGATCGACTTCTAGTTTCGAAAGTGGAATTTAATTTTCAGCGAAATAAAAATTTTACTTATTGGTCCAGTTTTCTCAAACTGGGTTAATTTTATCAAAAAGTGCGAAGCATAAATTGTTCTAGAAATTCAAAGAGCTTTAAGGGCATCTAATTTTTTCTTTGAATTTCGAAAGATGAGATTTTTTCAAAAAAAAAACAAGACTGTTCTTTTTTGTTTACTTGCGTTCGTTGACTCTCAACTGTCTGTTGGCTATATTATTATTTTTGATTGAGATGCGATTAGCGATATTCTTCTATATTCTTTGAACAACAAAAATAACTATTCATGATGAGTTGCTTGAAGGAAATTACAGCTCTAATATCTGAACATCATATGTGAGTTGCAATTTCTTCCACAGGAGTTAGATGGAGTGTAAACTATTTTGGATCAAATTAGATTAAATGAATTTGATTTTTAAACATCCTAACTTGGGTTATTATGCAGGTGAAGATGTACCATTTGGAGACCGTGATCCTGGGTCAGCTGCGTGCTATTCCCTGTGGGTTGGGTGAGATTCAGATTCTGAGGGAGAAGGCTCAATACCTGGCCGACTTCTCCCATTTCAGGGGCAGATACCTGCTGCCTACTCACCTCGCTATGGTCATCTTCGAGAACCTGTGCTGCAATGACAATAATCATGCAAATGGTATTGTAAATAGATTAAAAATTAGGTGATGTTTAATTTTCGAAAATTTGCTGAACACTAGTTTGTTGACAGGAAACCAGATAATAAACCAACATAAAACTTCGATTTCTTGAAGGGCGTATTATAGTTGATATACTCAAAAAGTTGACGAGGTCCAAGAAACTGAAAATTGGTTTGTGATAATTAGCTAAGTATTTCAGCTACAAGCGGATCCGAAAACTCATCGGATAGGAAAGCATCAGACTTGGAAGTAGGAGTGAAGGCTACTTTGGCAGTTCTGGCTATGAAACCACAAGTGGCCGAAGCTGACAATCCCCTCCTCTGTGAGAGTCTGAGACGAGCCAGATCCGAACTGACTCTGAGTTTACTTCTCAAGTTCAGAAATGAACCCAAGTTGCTGAGGGATATTTTAAATGCGTTACTGGACCAGGGACCACGAAGAGTGGATTTGGTAGTCACAATGTCATCTGGACAAAGTGGACCTCAGAGGAACAAAGTGCACAGATCCAGCAGTGGGAAAGCACCAGCATTAACTTCTCAGATGCCTGTGAATTCCCAATTCATAGAAGAAGATTTCTATGGTAAGTTTTCTATCCGCCTAGTTAATCCAAATTGTTAACGGTTTTCTCTGAGGAATGCGAGAAAAAGACTTCCTATAAATGTCATGCTTTAATAATGATACGCCTAAATCTTAAATTTTTTGATGTTCAGACTTCGTGATGGATAGCTCAGAAAGCAGGTCAGACTCTCCTTTCAGACAAGAAGACAACGCAGCGTGCACTTCGGCTGACGGAAATCTGAATCAAATCAAACCCCAAATGCACAAGGTTAAGATTTATGTTTAAATCATTTTTCATTTTTAGTGTAAAAAATGAAGAGAGTTCAACTTATTTAGGTCGCAATGATTTTTTAATTGTTTTTTTTTTCAATTTGTGCACGCTCAAATTTGATTTTTTGCAGTTTGAGCTATGATTTCTGTTCAAGTTTCTTTGTTTACACTAGTTTTTATTAACCCCTGGCCAGCTCCCGCCTTTCAACCTTGGACTTTTTATTCCGTGGGGGAGAGAGATGTCATCCATTTTGCCGCAGCTGGTCTCGGCAACGGCTGCTCGTTTACACGTCGAAAAGCAAAAGCGGAAAGGTCACGAAAAAGTGAATGACTTTCAGTTTCAAAAAGGGACTTTTTACCCTTACGATAAGCAAAGGGTATTGCAACCCGGTACTAGAATTTTTTCCCGTACATAAATTTGTTCACAGAATGGTCAATTTAGTAATTTACCCTTTCTAAGTTCCTTTTATTTTATTGTAACATTATTAAGAGTAATCAACGTAGTGAAGGCTCTTATATAGGTCTTGCTGTTTTTTTGTTTTGTTTGAGGAAAAAGTCTCAAAATATTGATGCACTTACGTATATATGCACTTTTTGAGTTCAATTGAAATTCCTCTGCTGAACGTGACCATAATAGCACTCTCCAAATACGAATGTGCAAAGGGCGCGAAAATTCGTGAACGATTTCTAGTTTTGAAAGTGGAATTTAATTTTTAGATTTCCAGCGGAATAAAAACTTTACCTGTTGATCCAGTTTTCTCAAGTCGGGTTAATATTATCAAAAAAGCGCCAATCATAAATCGTTCTAGAAATTCAAAGACTTGAAGGGTGTCTATTTTTTTGTTTGAAATTCGAAAGTTGAGCTTTTTTCTACTAAGTCAGTGTTTTTTTTAAATGTTTACTTGCGTTCATTACTTTTTTCCAAAATTCGATTGGCTGTTTTTCAGTTTGGGTGTCGGCCTTAATTCTGTCGCTTATTTACTTAATAATTTTTTTTTGTTAGTATAAGTTGATATTTCAAAATTAAATAGACTCGAATTTGACAATTATTCAACTTCTGCGGCACTTTTTAAAAACCAATAAATATAAAACTTCCATTTAAAATTTTCGGTTTCTTTTAAGCATTTTGAAAATTCCTTGTTAAATTACTAACGGTGCAGGTAATTTTGTTCTAGGATTCTTGTCTTTTTTGCAATTCTAGCTCTTTTTGACAAAAATAAACTATTTTTTGAATTTTTTCTTTCAATTCACGATTCCATTTGCTTGTAATTTAAATTATTCATTCTTGTATTGCAAGTAGTGCGAAACTCAGCTTCGCCTCTGTAATTTAGATTTCCCAGCTGAATAAAAAAAGCTTCTGATCCAGTTTGCTCAAATTGGGTTAATTTTTCACTTGAGAAATTGACAATCTTAATTGTTCTTAATGATTTAAGTTTTAAGGGCATATATTTGTGCTTTCAAAACGGAAAGCTGACGTTTTTTAAGAATAGATGAACGCAGTGGAGACTCACATAGATGGTCATGATTTTTTTTAGTTTTTTTTTCCAGGAAAACCCTCAAATTTATTCATGTTCAAATTCGATTTTTGGGGGTGTGACTTCGATTCTTTCCTTTCTTTTGTTAGAAGGCAGACAATTTCCACTATCGAAAAGCCAAAGAGTAAAGGTTAGAAAAAGTTAACCGTTTTCTAGTTTCGAAAGAGGAGTTTAATTTTCAGATTTCCCTATGGATTGAAAAAAAGCTATTGATCCAGTTTTCTCAATTGCTTCATTTTATAAAAAACCTCAATAAGAAATTGTTCTTGATTTTCAAAAAGCTTAAGGGCCATTTATTTTTATTCTGAATTTTGAAATTTGAAGTTTTTCAAAAAACGAGTCAGTTTTTTTGTTTCCCTACGACTCTACTTACTGTCTGTTGGCTATGTTTCCAAAAACATACAGAATTTTTTCTTTCCTTTTTATTGACACTTTACAATGGTCCGTTGGCTCAGTTAACATTTATTTCATTTTCATTGCCAGTAAAAAAAGCAATTTACGTTTTCCTATTACAAATGTGTTAATGGAGCAAAATACGTGAATGACTTAGATTCGAAAGGGGAGTTTTAATTTGAGATATTCCAACAGAATGAAGAAATTACCTACTATTGTTTTAGTTTTTCTTAATCGGATTAGCTTTATGAAAAAAGTGTCGATCATTAAAACTTTTTGAAAATCAAATAGCTTCAGCGTGATCTGCTGGTCAAAATCAGGTTTTATATATTCACGAGTAAGCAGATTTAAGAAGCATTCAAAGTGAAAGCGCGTTACTAACAATGAGTGCATTTTTTTAAAATCAATGCAATTTCAAATTCAATGGGGAAATTGATTTTTTCTCACACTACCCCTGAAAAATTTTCTAACATATAATATCATTAAAAGAATTATTTCCCAGTGATCTCAATAATTACCAAGCTGCTTTCAAGAAACCAAACTATTTAGTCCATTGGCGCTCTGTACCTGCAGTCATTTTTCTTAACTTGCACCTTTTTCTACGGCCTTCGAAAGTTCCAATGGGGGAATGTTTGACCCTTTCTTTTGGATTATCTCGAAAACTACTCCACCAAATTTGGGATTCACGATTTTATCGAAAGAAAAAATAGCTGAAATCTCTTTCGCACAAGCCGCCACGCCTTATTTTAGTATGCCTCAAAAAACTCGTTGATGATATTGAGGTAGTTTTTTAATAGTGTTGAACGTAGTCAGGGATCTTATATAGGTCTTGCTGATTTTTTTTGTTTTTTTTTTCAGGAAAAGTCTTAGAATTTGTTCACGCTCAATTTTGAGTTTTCGCGGTTTGACTTGTGATTTCTTTCGAAGTTCATTGTGTTTCCATTGTTAAAAGAAAGGCAAAATCCACTATTGAATAGCAAAAATGTAAAGGTCAGGAAAAACGTGATCGACTTCTAATTTCGAAAATGGAAATTAATTATCAGATATCCCAGTGAAATAAAAATTTTCCTATTGATCCAGTTTTCTCAAATTGGGTTAATTTAAACAAAAAAGTGTCCATCATAGTTTGTTCTACTATAAAGAGCTTTAAGGTCATATTTTTTTCTTCGAAAATCAAAAGTTGAAGATATTTTTGAAGAAAAAAAACTTGTCAGTTTTTGTTTCAGTTTCATTGCGATCATTACTCTTTTCCAATTTCCATCTGTCAGTTGGCTATGTTTTATTGCTTTGAGTTTACCCGAAAACTACCCTTCCGAATCTGGGATTATAGGTTTAATTGATGGAATGATTTTGTATTACTTCCCTGCTTAATCGGCTACGCCTTAGTTGTTTTAGAAAAAGTTGTTGCCGACGGAATTTTTGAAAGTTTGACCGTTTGTGTAAGCTTTTCGACTTTTCTCGAAAACTTTCCTGCCAATTCTTAGGATAAGGGTGCAATCGAGAAACCCGATTGTCGGAATTTTTTTGTATAAGCGGCTACGCCCCATTTTTTGTAGAGAAAAGTTATGGCTTTCGGATAAACAAACTTAGACAGTTTTTTGGAAACTTTGACTTTCTCGAAAACTACCCTGCCAATTCTGAGAGTATTGCTTCAATTGAAATAAAAATTTGTGAGAATCTTCACGGCAGATCAAATAGTTACCTCCAGCTTTAGCTGAGCCTTGGCGATGACGTAATAAATCATAAATTTCAAGATTTGCGAAAATTTTCAGATCTATTTTTAAGTATTCATTCGAAAACCAAGAAAAAATGAACCTCGGTAATCGGGAACTAGACTTTTTTCCCGTAAACACTTTTATGCATCTGTAAGAAATTGGAAGTTGCTTTGTTAGTGAAATTTAGCAATTTGCAAAACAGAATCTGGTTTTATTAGGGATTTCGCATTGAGCGAATCAGAAGCACGAGCAGTGGCAGTGACTCCAATGCAATGGCAGCTGCCGCACAAGCCAACATCCCACCGGCTGCACGGAGAGCCGCGAAGAGAACCTCAAATGTGCGCAGCAATAGTCACAAAGACTACTCCTCGGAGCGATTCGTAACTTACGTCACAGTGCCCGAAGGCAACAGAGGAACGAACGGAGGCATTTCAAATGGCAGTAACGATTTGCACAGTGTGAGGGCACTTGCATTGTCCAGTGCAGAGAACGCTGCTTCGTGCAATATATCGATGGTGCCTGCTAGCTCTACTAACACCAACTCCAAAATGGCATTCCCGCTAGGACGCAGATGGTAAGTTACTGTTCAGCTTTTAATAATATAGCATGTCCCGTTTTTCCAATGTAAGCCTCACTTTTCTTTGTTTGATTTATGTTTTGAGTTTCTGGGCTTTTAGTTCCTTTTTGGCGCTGTTACAAAATATGAGCTGTTTTTATTTGAACTGCTGGCTGAATTATGTAGTGACTCTGAATCTGCAGGAATCCAGTGGTCTGCATTTTTTTGCCTTTTAATGGCTTTTTGTATTTTACTGAATTTTGAATCGTTTCCCCCATTTTTCTGCTTGTTTGCAAAGTGAAGCTTCTCTTTGTTCTTAAACAGTATAATTGAAGTATATTTCAAATAAAAAATGACGAAAAGATTTTTGATTAGAAGTCGTACACTACGTGACCAATGATTTATGCTGTATTAAGGTTTCGAGGTAAGAAGTGCTACAGTAATGTGCCAGTGGTGCCGAATCAGCCTTCAGAGGCACAGGCACACTCTCTGATGGAGTTGGCCAAACAGGTGCTGGTCAAAGCTTCCTTCTCCAACCCCTCCACTTCCTCGTCTGCCCACTCCAACTCAGCAGCTGCCAATCTCACCTCATCCACATTCGCATCTCACTTCACGGATCCAACCTCATTCTATGCCCAGGTGAATGATTGTCACATTCATGTGCTGCAGCTGAAAGTTTATAACTTGAAATTTCCGACATTCAAGAAATGTATCTGTTATCTATAACAGGCTACAGATTGTTCAGTTTTTACGCAAGGACCATGTTCATACCCTTATGAACACCTGCGCGCTATTGCTCTCTCAAGCAAGCGCTTGTTATTTTATGAGCAGGGGCGGATCTAGGTCGACCAAACAGATTTTCCGAGCTCTCACAAATCACTATAAAGACCCTATTTTGGCCAATTTTTTTTTGCGCCATAGCCAAAATTTTGAAACAATAGGCCAAAAAGGCGCTTTATGCTTTTTTTTGAAAAATTTTGACCAAAAAATTGCGTTTTTACGGCGCGTGCTTCCCCCTCAAAATTATTATATATTGGCGTCTAAGGCGCTTTTAGAAAAATTTAGGGTACACTCAGCCAAAAATGCAGATCTCAAAATAGTACAAAGGATGGACCCTTTGGATCGGCAGGGGGTCGAATCCCTGATGGGAATGGGCGTCCCCCCACTAAGTCTGCTGGTGCTTATGAGTTCATTTTTCGTCACCTAACTAACACCTTTTATAAATTAGCGTTAAGTGCTCGTTTTTGCTGTATATCAGTAGCAATTCAATAGCATATGTTTTACCTCTTTATTCCTTGTTACTCTGCTTAACCAATAGCTGGTGGCAAAGTTGTAAGGATGTTGGACTGTGAATCTGGAGGTTGATGGCTCAAGTTCCGTTCAGTGGGTATTATTTTCCGAGGCTTTTTTAGCTTATTTTTGAATTTTCTAGCATTTTAAATCTCCTTTTAGCCATTTTTTACCAGTGCTTGGAAAGTGCAATTGCGCCTCTGGGTTTACTGATGCTGTGAAATTTCAAATTGAGACATTTCAGTTAACTAGTTTTCAGCTAAAAATTTGAAAGAACAAACAATAACTTCAAACCGTTTAATTTTATTAGTCGCGCAAACAGAAACGATTAAAATAATAAGATGAGATATCTTTTGGTCTAAGATATGTGAACCATATTTAGACAAGCCAGCGCTATTGTTATATAACGAGATAGCTTTTTCCCAATTTTTGCGCGGTTTGATTTTTGATTTCGTTTTAACTTCAGCTCATTTCATTTCCACGGGTCTAGGACAACAGGCCAACGGGACTTCCAGTCGAAAGGGCTTCAAAACAAAATTTAAACTTAACAAGAACTTCAAAACGCTAAATTTTCATCAGTAAATTGTTTATTTCAAAATTTTAGGCAAGTTCATAATAAGCTTTTTTTTATATAACAATGCTCCACTTAAGAGTGGCATCAGATAGTTAGATCTGCCGGATTTTGAATTGCATAAATTATACACATGAAAAGGCCCTTCATCAATGTTTTGATGTTTAATGTTGCTAAACATCAATAAGAGGCTTAAAAGTTGTGAAGAAGCCACTTAAGTGTAATAAAAGCTAATAAAACAGTTCTCAAATTAATCATATTCCATGACTTTTTGACAAAAGGTTCGGCTGGAAGTCCCTAATTTTTCGATTTGGCCTAAAATTTCGTCGGCTTGATGTCCGGCACCCCATTTCCTCTATCGAGCTGCAAAGTATAGAGACCACGAAAAACGTGTGCGACTTCTAACTTTCAAAGTGGATTTTAGTTTTTGAATTTCCCAGCGAAATGAAAAGTTAACTATTGAATTTCCCAGCAAAAGGAAAAGTTAACAATTGAAACAGTTTTCTGTAATTGGATTAATTTTACATTGCTGATTAAAATGATCCGAAGGAAACAAATAAAACATGAGAAACTCAAATTGGATTGACTTAAGACAAACAATCATGAAAACAAAACTCGCTTAGAATTTCAGCAGAATTAATATGTTGCAATTTAGTTGGCAAAATTTGGGTCCAAAACTTAATTCCAAAATCGACCATTTTCGGCTTTTTCAGTCAAAAACCACGCGAAAATTATTGGTTTGATTGCTGACAAAAATATATAAAATGAACCTCTTATATAGCCCAACAAAACTATGAAAGGTATAATCTCTCTTGTTGTTTTCTTTAGTAAAATCGACATTTTTCAGCTATCAAACGAAATAAATTTAATTATAAAAAAAATTGAGACGATTATACCGTTATTTCGTTTGATAGCTGAAAAATGTCGATTTTACTAAAGAAAACAACAAGAGAGATTATACCTTTCATAGTTTTGTTAGGCTATATAAGAGGCTCACTTTGAGTCTTTTTTGTCAGCAATTTAACCTATAGCTTTGGCGTAATGTTTGATTAACTAAAAAACCAAAGAAGGTAGTTTTTGAAGTTACAATTTGGTCCCGAATTTAGCAAAATTTTTGTACCATATTAATTCTGCTGAAATTCTAAGCAAGTTTGTCTTTATCATTTTTTGTCGAAAGTCGAGCCAATTTGAGAAAAACACGTTTTATATTTTATCTTTTCTTTAAGTCCGGATAATTTAAATCAGCATTGTACAAAAATGTGCCAATTTTACAAGATTCTTGAAATCGAAAAAGCTTTAGCTTGCTGTATTTTTCTCCATCAATCGTTAGTTGAAAAATATCGAAAAGGTCTCTTTTTTTTCGGTTTATTGGCAGTTTTCCAACTTTCTGTTGCCAAAGTCTTTTAAGTTTGAGTCGTATCAGGCCCTCCTTCATCAACCTATTCAAATTTCTTAAATCAAGCTCTTGCTGTAAATTTGGACGCCAAAACTACGTTTATTTGAATCAGAATCGGTCAGCTGGGGATCAAACAAGCAGTTTTGGGCCGATAGTGAACAACTTCGTGAGTGACAATTCAAATGCTACCACAAATCTTGACAACCAGCTGGGATTAGGAGCAGTGGCAACAAGTACCACCCAAACTGACACCACCCAAGCCCTAGATGCATTCCAGACATTCTCATTCGCAAACCCACTCAATAATTCAACCTACACTGGCTTCCCCCAAATCAGTCACGTGAATCACACAAGTGTATCTGCAAGTTCACGCAAAGTGCACCCTGGATTACACATGGCTGCATTTGAGATTGGATTGCACGCTCTTTGTGTGTTGAATTGTGTTTCATCTAACTGGTTGTCGAGGACATACTCTACTTACGAATCTTGGATTCAAAGTTAGTAAATCTCTCTCTCTCTCTCTCTCTCTCTCTCTCTCTCTCTCTCTCTCTCTCTTGGTTGTACCCTGGAGCACCCCTGAATTTTGTTGTGTTAGCGGCACGATTTTGTCCTAAAATATTTACACAAGAGAGCTTGCGAGTATTTTGGTTTATTACGAAATAAATTTCTTCTGATCCGACTCGTTTATAGTGTGCTTTTTTTGGAAAGCAAATTAGCCGTAAGTGGCGCAGTGGCGCACACGAGGCCATTGGTTCGATTCCCGTATTTTTCATATATATATTTTTTTAAATTTCGTGCCTTTTTAGCGTGTGTTTGCGAAGTGCGCCCTCGCCTGTGTGAAAATTTTGATGCTTATGTGGTGTGGATCTTTGATCCAAAAAGAAGTTTAATGTGTGTAGGGGCTTTATGATTTGCTACTATTTTAGCGCAAACATTTGAAATCGGAACAGCGGCGCTGACAGTGCTGAGAGATCGCTGGGTGGGGATCCTGACACCTTCAGAAGCATGTGGGATTGCCCAAAGGGCTGCCAAAGTGTACGAATCGAGTGTCCGAAATGCGGGAGCTGATCTGGCGCTGTCTGTGTTGAGACATGCGAATAGTCTGAATGCAAACGAGATTGTGAGTTGTCTGGAGCAGTGCAATGAACAGGGCAGTGAGTTGTTAGAGAAGGCCTGCAAGTGCATAGAGGGGGTGCACGAGGTCGCATCGCCAGTGTCCGGATCTACTCTGGCTCCCCCTATTCTGTTTAAGGTACGCATGTCCACTATAGATTTAAAGGCATCCACCTCTTAACATTCAACCTAAGATAATTAAGATCAACAATATTGATTTGAACCAAAATTAATTAATTTAACGGAGATTATTTTATAATGGAAATAATAACTGATTTGCAAAAAAATAATTTTTATAGAAGGATATTTGTAAAAACACGTTGTTGAACAACGAGGTTTCTGTGCAAAAATGTCATGAGGAATCAGCAAATACAATTATGATTCATTTTTGGCCTGAATCTGAGCTCAGTCGGAAAAGGGCTTTTAAGCTTTCGGACATTAAGAGCACTTTTAATTTCAGATAGCGAAATACTTCAAGAACCTGCACGATGTGTCAGTTGTAGCCCCCCAGCAGACCACAAATAACAGACAACAACATCAGCACATGGCCACCCAAATGACCAATGTGAACACAGCACCTCAACTAGCAGCCGGTAACAAAGAAAATAACGGAATCTGAATTGCTAAAATTAATTAAATCTTATCTTTTATATTAAATGAAAGTCTTAATGCGCTATAGACGCAACGTTTTAACTTCTTTATCGAGCACAACGTTTAAGAATCATTCAGAGCAACCATCAGAGAAAGATGAACTCGATCCAACTTCAAGGCTAGACAGTACTCGCCTATTTTTGTCCAAAATTTTGCGTTTACAGATTCATTTCAGTCTGAAGCGAATAAACTGAAAACAGCAACCTCCATTATACCTCATTTGGTGGTTACTTCATTTGAAAACAGAGGACATTATTATTAAGGAAAAATTATGTTGTCTTCTATTTTCTTCTTTGTCTGCTTCGGCCTCACCGATTTCTTTGTCTGCTTCGGCCTCACCAACTTCTTTGTCTGCTTCAGCCTCACCAACTTCTTTGTCTGCTTCGGCCTCACCAACTTCTTTGTCTGCTTCGGCCTCACCAACTTCTTTGTCTGAGCCGTCTAAATAGAGCAAATTGAACTGATTCACAGTTGAAATTGAACAATTCTTAGTCCGCAGATTTTTAGGTAGAAGGATCAGATATGTCAAAGTATTTGCAAATAAATTACTAGCCACTCGTTGACGAGGATGATGATCCTGATGAGGAAGTTGTGCCTCCAGCTGTGAATTCTGACACGTCGGGTTCAAATAAACGGGGACATGACAGGTCCTAGCCATCTGTCAATCTGCGTGTGCTGGGGATCGGTGTTAAGCTTCACGAAGTCAAGCATTGTGGTATGCCACCACGCTAAATCTCTTTTGAGATCCAAAAACGCCCCCGGTACATCATTCTCTCGAAATCGTGCCATACTTCCTTTTGTCTTGAAATCCTCGGTCAGCTGCGATAACTCGGCCGAGTTCTGGGATATTGGCACGCGAAATTGAGAGCTCAAGCTGTGAGCAGATGTCGTCGAACGCGGTCAAAGTCATAGTTTGATCTTTTTGAAGGCCTCTTCAATTAATTTTGGCTGCTTTTTTGGAGGCATTAGAGTTTTTCAAGTATCCGATTCGGCAAATTATGAAATTTGAACAGATTAGAAAGTGAACAAAAAAAAGATATCAGTATCAACTCAGTCCCCCAGGTACCAGTTTTTTTTTTCAAAAAATCTATAGTTCGAAACAGTTTAGAAAAAATTTACATACATGCAATCATGCCAAGTTTTAACCTTCAACCCAAGCAACTTTGTCTTTCAAAGCAAATTTAGACTAAAAATTAAACTCAGTGGCGACAAGACAAGGTCAGAAAGAAAACATACCCTTATTCGAAGAAAAATCAGAAGGACGCAGAATTAAAGAATTATCTTTACGAAATTGAAGTAAATGAGACAAGTAAAGTTAGCAGTATTAACATAGGAGATTCGGGGGGGGGATTCATCGATTATAGCTATTAAACTTTGAATGATTAAGCTATGAAATTTTGAAATAATTATATTTATTTCATGGACCCAATCGGTTTTCGAAAAAAAAAATTCTCAGCGTGGAGGTGGCTGTTTTCAGTTAATTCGTTTCAGACTGAAATGAATCTGTAAACGCAAAATTTTGGACAATAATAGACAAGTACTGTCTAGCCTTGAAGTTGGATCGAGTTCATCTTTCTCTGATGGTTGCTTTGAATGATTCTTAAACGTTGTGCTCGATAATAAAGTTAAAACGTTGCGTCCATAGCGCATTAAGATTTTCATTTAATATATAAGATTATTTCAAAGTTTCATAGCTTTATCAGTTAAAGTTTTATAGCTATAAAGCTTGCTTAAAAAAGCTAGAACTTTTCGCTAACCGATTCGGTCTACACAATATTTTGAAAAAGTGCAAAGTTTTATAGCTTTATCATTCTAAGTTTTATAGCTTGCTTAGAAAAACTGAAACTTCTCGCGTACCGATTCGGTCGACGAAATAACTTGAAAAATTTCATAGCTTGCTAAGAAAACTTTAAGTTTTTCCGAAATTGATTCGGTTTATAGATAACTTGCGCAAACTGATTCGGTTTATAGATAACTTGAATAATTTCAAAATTTCTAGCTGAAAAAACTTGCTTAGAACTTGATTGTTTCACGAACTGATTCAGTCTTTGAACTAAATTGAAATACTTCAAAGTTTCGTAGCTTTAATAGCTTGCATAGAAAAACTGAAACTTCTCGCGTACCGATTCGGTTGACGAAGTAACTTGAAAAGTTTCATAGCTTGAATAGCTTCCTTAGAAAACTTTAAGCTTTTCGCAAACTGATTCGGTTTATACATAACTTGCGCAAACTGATTCGGTTTATAGATAACTTGAATAATTTCAAAATTTTTAGCTGAAAAAGCTTGCTTAGAGGAGTTTAATTGTTTCACGAACTGATTCGGTCTACACATTAACTTGAAAAAGCTTAAAGTTTCATCGCTTAGAAAACTAACTTATGGTAAAAAAGATTCGGTCTACGAAGCGCTTGGATTTTTTCGAAGTTCATGGCTCGATTAGCTCGCGCAGAAAAACTTATTTTCGCAAAACGATTCCTTCTAATAAATAACTTGTAAATATTTCAATTTTTATTGCTACAATAGCTTGATTAAGTGAATTTTGAATTTTTTCGAACAGATTCGCTCTATTAGCTCGCTCCATTACTATTAGTTCGCAAAATGTTTTGATCTAAACAACTCGAAATATTTCTAGCTTCATTAACTTGCTTCAGTAAAACTTGAGTGTTTTTGCCAACCAATTCGCTCCATGAAATTACTTGAAGTATTGAAGTTTAATAGCTTGAACAGTTTGCTTAGAAAAACTTTTTGCACTCCGATTCGCTTCAGGAAATTAACTTGAATTATTTAAGGTTTCGTAGCTTGAATAGCTTGCTCAGAGTAAGTTTCATTTTTTCGAGAACTGATTCGTTCTATGATACGTAAAGTTATCAAACCGATTTACGATCTGGCTCAGCTTGAGATTTCGAAGTTTTATAGCTTGATCAGAACAGCAACTATTTTTTGCGAGCTGACTGATTACTGGAGAAAGGCTTGTTAGTACCAATCAAACAAGATATCTACTTGATTAAATTAATCTTTAGTCTTAGAATTTAGTGTTTTTCCTATAAACTTTTTACCGGAGCTTTTTTGGGCATTATTTGGATTTTTTTAAGCGGCGCTCGCTGATACTAAGATATTGGAGTTGAGGGATATTCAGTCGTCTAAAATTGGATGCTTAAAATTTTAATTCAGAGGGTTTTGCCGGAACAAGTTTGGCTATCCAAATCGAGGGGGAAGGCGACCACCGCTGGCTCCATCGCCATGCTGCTGAAGCCAAGTTGTTTAAATGTTAAAATCATATTTAAGGGATACCGCCAAATATCAGAAAGAAACTAAGCAGTATTTTTCCTCTTCTAGGCTTTCCTGCTCGTCACGTGACTCCGACTGAAGAGGCGCAGCGTCAAGGAGCATTCGACATGGTGCAACAAGATCTACAACAGTACCTCCTGCATCAGATCATGTTCCCATCTGCCGGTCTACTGCTGTCCCGCGGCTACGCTAACGACGCCGCTAGGAACTTCTTTCCCAGCCCAACTCTACAAGCAGCAGTCCAAGGTCAAACGCCCGTTATTACAGATTCGGTAACTCAACATCGCAACGCGGCTGCTGCCGTGGCATCATTTGGAACCTACTTACCAGCAGCTGCTCCTAACCCGAACATGATGGGACCTCATCGTCTTGCAAACACGAACACAAATGCGAACCAACATCCCAATCCAGCTACCTCTATTGTTACGCAAACTCGGTTTTCAAAGCGAGCCTTCCTTAATGGAATCGAGGCTGTAAAAGTGATGATTCGTAGAAGCGCGGAAAGCAAAGAGGAGTTTTCGGCCAATGCCAGCAAGAACTTTGAAAATGAAGATGATTTGAAGTGGCTTATTAGTTTGACTATTCAGATGGGCAGGCCTGAGAACATCAAAATTTTGATCGAGTGCCTTTGTCACGGGGGTTTAAAGAACCCTTTTCTGATGCACAATTTGACTGATTTTGTGCTGAATAAGTTGCAGCAGCATTTTACAAGTGACAACTTCGCATCACAAGCTGTCGGTGGAAATATCGCAAGGCAACATTGTCTATTTGTAGCGTTCAGTGCCTGCACGTGGCAAAGGTGAGATGTAGTAATTTTTAAGAGTCGATGAACGTAGTTCTGACTCTTATATAAGCCGCGATTATTGATAGTGTTTAAGTCTTGATTTCATTTGATTTTGAGTCAATGTCATGTTTGACTTTAGATACCTAGAGTGCCTGAGTCGGAAGCTGGAGACCTTGGGAACCCCCAGTGGTCAAGGAGATGAAGACTTGCTGCAGACTGTCACAAGTGAGTAGCTTTGTTTTCCGATTAACTCGCTGGCTGTGACTGCAAAGAGCTATGGCGTAGGTTGGCTTTTCGGTCCAATTTTAGGCACCTCAAAGGCCGACAGTCAAGTGTGGTATCAAACAAAAGCCGTATTGGCGTTGTTTCGGATTCCCAAAAAATGGGTCTTTCTGACTCATTTACGCTGTGAGCGAGTGAACTTCCCATCTAGTTTTACTTTATTTAGCTTTTGGCTCATTATTATATAATAGAGTTTTCTGCCACCTTCTAATTACACTTGGGTCAGCTTAGTGTATTATTACGAGCCCTCTTTTTTTCTAAGCTAAGTCCCAAATATTGGTGCTACTTTTACCGCTTTTTGATAGCATGTGCTTTAAATTTCGAATAGTAATAAGAACTGAATCAAATGAACTGAAAAAAGCAATTTGTTTCAAACAACATAACAATAATTACGCTTGCGATTAGCAAGTGTCATCAAATCGGAATGTAGACTTCTTTTTTCTAGTTCACAACTAGTTTAACAAAATCAGTTGAATCAATTGCTGATATCAATGCTGACTTGCTCAATTTCATGAAATTTCAAATTAAACTGGGTGGGTACCAGTTACTACAGGGTAGTTTCAGGGGAGTTGAAACTTTTTAGTTTATTTTTAAATCAGTTTTTTTTGCTTAACTGGTGTCTCCTCAAAGATTGTCGGCCTTGTTTCAGCTTTGTAAGTTTGTTTAGTTGCTAATTTGAATTTCAAATGCCTTGCTTGGCATGCTTGCCTAAATTTTTAGTTAGAAAAAAACAGGTTTTATGAAAATGTATGGGATTAGGAGGATAGGGATTGTTTCTTTCTCTCAAGAACTCTTTTACCAATTTTGAAAAAAGGGTATCCACAGTAGTACCGCCTACAACCTTGCGTGTCTGCATACTCTCCTGGTCTCTTTTTGCGTTGCCATTTTGTCTCGAAAAACTGTAAGGAAAATTTAGACCGATATTTTTGAATTTTTAAATCTTTTTCTCAAAAACTAACATACCAAGTTAGAGGTTTTTTGATTCAATGAATAAAGCGGATTTGGAAAGCTCCCTTCCATAAGCGTCCACACCCAAACGTTTTTTAAACATACAGATATGGCCCTCGGAATAATGAATTTTTTGTTATTTTTGAACCGTTTAAGTTTTTTTTGACTAATTTACCAAACCAGAGGTTGTGAGTTTAATGGATATAACGGATAGTAAGAAGCTCCCCTGATTTAGCGCCCACTCTTAACTGGTTTCCGATGACGACACAAAAAGTTATCGTCATCGGAAAGGTCAATTTTTTTTACCGGTTTTCGAAACTTAGGCAATTTTCGAGAGAACCACCCTGCCAAACCTGGACTTTTGGATTGAATCGAAATGGCAGGTTGGGTGAATCTCTTCTGCATTAGCGGCCAGGCGCAAATGTTCAAAAGCAAAAAGCTCTGATTCTCGTAATTGTCAACTATCTGATTTGTTCTTTTTTTCTGGACTTTTCTCGATAACTATCCTGCCAAATCTAATATCATAGGTTTGATCGTCATAACATGTTGTTGGAAGTTGAATTTTGTTTTTTTGCTTCGCCCAATTTGTTTTGAAAAAAGTTATGGCCTTCAAACAAGTGAAATTTTTGAATTTTTGACCGTGTTTCTGGAAGTTTTATGACTTTATTTTAACATTACCGTGCCAATTCTCAGGTTGAGTGTTCAATCGAGGAACCCGATTTTGGGAGTCTTCTCTACTTTATTGGCCACAACCTGTTTTTCACAGAAAAAAAGTTACGGATTTAGAAAAGTCAAGTTTTTGAACTTTGACCTTTTTTAGAAAGTTTTTGAATTTTCTTAAAAACTACCCTATCAAATCTGAGATTGAAAGTTGAATCAAAATAAGCGGTTGCGCATTTTTTCTTGCAGAAGAGGCTACTTTTTACTTTTCTGTAAGATAAATGTTATGACTTTGGAAATATTCCAAAATCTCTAACATTTTCACTCTTCTCCCTAATTTTAGTAGAGAAACTAAGGTTTTGGGCAAAGTCCAGTTTTCGAAGTTACGCATTTTGTCCCACATCGGTATAAAAATTTTCAAAAATATGAAACACGTGCTTTCAGCTTTAGCTGGGCCCTAGGTGTCCTTTATTGAGTTATACGAAAATTTAGGTTCACCTTGTTTTTCTTAACATTTTTCAATTTTTTTTCGACTTATGTTTTTTTATAATTGTGTTGTATCGCAAGTGGTGCGAAGCTCCGCTTCGCCGCTGTTTATCTCGCAATTTTTTGAAGTTTTTACATAATGTGGCTTTATGTGGATTTGTTACATGCAAACTTGTGTGGATGCCTTCTTTTTGTTTTAATCCAAATTTTTACTTAAAAACTTGAGTCTATTTGTATTTAGTGTCACTTTTGCTGAATGGCATTGGCAATTGATTAGCATATGTAATTGCTTTATTCGTGACCAGTGTTTGTCTTTTGTTAAGCTTGAGTGGTTAGTGCGTGAGACTCAAAACCTCTTGATTGCAGTAGGTCGAAGCTCGAATCCCAGACCTAGATGAGTTTTTACTAATTCCGGGCCTTATTTCTATTTTTTTTCTTATGACTTTTCCTAAAGCTTTTTTGTCGTGTTTTTGCTAGTGTTTGCAAAAAATCAAGTTATTTTGAATTGCAGCAATTAAATGGCCATATCCTAAGGGTGAAGTATTCTATTTCAAACTTGTCATGGAACTGATAGGCGACTAAATACAAGTAATTAATCGTGAAAGGCTTTTTTTCAAGTCAAAGAGTTCATAGTGCCCAGACAAAGGTTTTTAAAACTAGCTAAGAGAAAGTATCATGGTGGGCGTCAGGCAACTAACTTCTTTATTGAAGTTTTTGCCTGTACATAGCTTATATAGAGATCGAATTTCACGCTTCTCAACGGACGATGTTTAAGCGTTGGATGGATGCGTGTGATGATAGATCATGTATTTTAGGCATGCGAACATGTGCAATTACCCAGTATTCCACAAACGTATATGCGAACACAGGCGGCGGGGGACTTGGGGGAAACAACAACCCCCTCCTCCCCCCTGGAGGACAGACCTCCAGTGCTAACAACACAGTGCAGCGCATAGGAGACATGTCAAGACTAATCGTGGCTGCCAGGAACATGAGACCTGACCTGAGAGAGAAAATTCGAACTCTTTTCTTGCCGCCAACTTAACAGCAACTCTGAAGACTGTTAGATTTCACGGAAGGCTGTAAAAAACTGAAGACTGGTAGTTTTCATGTGTGGTTATGGCTACAGTGAAATTAATAAATCTGTGAGAATTGATTTATACTCTGGGTAAAGTTAGCTACGTTTAGTTTTGTCTGTATACATCATTTTTCATGTCTGAAATAAGTATCAAATTTAATTGTGTTTAGTTGTTTCCATGCATCTGGAATTGTGCTTTAAGTTATGTTTTTGTTTCGGGTGACGGAAGCGCACTGATTTATGTAAATTGCAAGCCTGAATACTTTTTCGGATGGCATGATGTATTAAATTGTTGTAAATTTAGACGGAGGGTTTTGTGCTTTGCTACTAATTTCACGTTTCAAAAGAGTAATTTATGTAGTTATAACTTAGTGCTTTATGAAGTGTTTTTACTTGAAGATCTACCCCTATTGTAAGCATCTCTTCAAAATGAGGTGAGTTTTGTAAAATACATTGTTATCTTCAGAAATATTCAATTAGTACTCAAAGCAGGTCCAGTCGCCAACAATATACGTGCCGCTTATCAGGGGAGATGCAGTACAGAGTGCATCAGACTCGCAATCAAGAGGTTGGTGATCCGAGAATCATCTTGATCAGTGCTCGCTGCTTATTGGCGTGGTATCTATTGAAATCCGAAAAAAAACTAGGACAACTTGTAATGGCACTCGCAGGGGCTATCTAAGCAAGTTTCTAAGAGATTACGTATTGCAGACTCTTATATAGGTCGTGATGATTTTTTCGTTTTTCAGGAAAGTCAAAATTCGTGCAAGCTCAAATTTACTTTTCGCGGTTTGACTTTAATTTGTTTAAAGTTCAGTTCATTTCCATTATTAGAAGAAAGGTAATTTTAACTATCGAACAGCAAAACTAAAGGTCACGAAAAATGCGATTGACTTACGGTTTCAAAAACGAATTCAAAGATCAGATATCCCAGCGAAGTCAAATTTCTAGCTATTAATCCAGTTTTCTCGAACTAGCTTGATTTTATCAAAAAAAGTGAATCATAAATTGTTCAGAAACTCAAAGAGTTTCAAGTCCATCTATTTCTTTCTCAGAAATTCGAAGGTTGAAATTTTGTCAGAAAAAAAACAAGTCAATTCTGTTACTTGCGTTCATTGACTCTTCCGACTGCATGTTGACTCAGACTTGTTAACGGGCCGCCATAATTGAGGCCCGGCCCGGCCCGATATAATTCAAGTCGAGCCCGTTGGCGGCCCGATAAACAGGAAATTTATTAAATATCGGCCCGTTGGGGCCCGTTGCTGCTTTTTTGGTGAAAAACAAATTTGTTTCAAAACAATTTTAATTAATTGTTTTACTTATTTATAAAGACCTTTTTTAAAAGCCATGGAAACCATTTCAATTGCCTCAACGGTTGTAGGCGAAGTTTTGCCCGTCTTTCGGATACCGTCAGACCGCAATCAGTGCGCACTGAAACATAAAATTGGTTAGTCAATAAAAGTAAGGCCCGTTGACAAAAGTGAAAACGTCGGCCCGGCCCGTTGACAAGTTTGTATTGACTATGTTTGGCTTGTTCTGTTATTAAGTATCAATGGGCAAAGTGAAAGTGAGGTTCATTTTTGAATTCATTGCTATGCACTATTGGACAATTTTAAGCGCATTTTATTTTTTTTGCTCGGTAAAAAGTGCTTTCTTCATGATGATTTTGGATTAAAAGAAATTGGATGAAATTTTAAAATAAAATTGGATAAAATTTTAACATAGCGCTAATTATCAGAGCTACACATGGCCAAATAACCAAATGGACAAATGACCAAATAAGATCATTACTGAAAGTTTCAATTTATATGATCTGCATTAAGTTGTTCACAGAAGTGACTTTTTCTCGATTAAACGGAAAAAATTTCAAGTGAGGCGAAACATAATAAGCGAAAAAAAAATGAATTCTTGAGCTTGAAAACTTCACTTAACTCGACTATTTCTTAGAATTTAACTCGTTTTCAAGAAATTGAAACATTTAGTGTGAACTGGCATTTTTAGTCGCTTTCAAAGAGGATAGCTCTGATAAATTGCTCCTAATCAAAATAAGAATTTATATGAGATTCGAAATTAATTCTGCCCAAAATCATTCTTTAAACCAGGCATTTTAAAAAGACAAATTTCTGTTTTTGATGAAAATTGTCACCTTAGATGCTGTTGGAGGTTATTAAGAGTCTTTAGGTCTTTCTGATTTTTTTCAGGTAAAAGTTTTAAAATTTGTTGACGCTCAATTTAAATTTTTCGCGGTCTGAAATCTGATTTTTTTGATGCTCAATGAATTTTTATTGTTAAAAGTAAGGAAAACTCCACTATCGAACATCAAAAGTGTCAAGGTCACGAAAGATGTGATCGACTTCTGATTTTGAAAATGGAATTTAGTTATCAGTTTTTCTAGCGAAACAAAATATTTACGTATTGATCCAGTTTTCTCAAATTGAGGTAATTTTAACAAGTGTTCATTATAAATTGTTATGCAAAAAAGAGCTTTAAGGCTATCTATTTTTTTCTTCGGAAGTCAAAAGTTGAAGTATCTTGAAAATACAAGTCAGTTTTTTTTCAGTTTTTTTGCGTTCATTACTCTTTTCCAAATGTTAGTTGACTATGTTGTTTAATTATAAGTTGGGATATTATAAGAATTGTATAATTGATTTGGGAACATTGTTCACATTTTTATGGCGTAGCGGAATATCTTTCATTCAAAAAAATACAGCAAAAAATCGCAACTAAAGACAACTCGCCCCCGACCTATTAATATGCCTTTTGATAAGTATATTCATGTAAATTAGTGCATACTATATTTGTTAGCTGAATTTCGCTAAATTGAGTGTTTTTTATGTCTAATACTCACAAGGTTGGGGAAAAAACAAGACTGCTCGTATCAGGGCGAAGCCCTGAATGTTTCGACTGCCTTTAAGGTTTATTGAGCAGTAGTAACATAAAAATTAAATGTAATAAAAAAAATGAACAATTTTTTTTTCTAAAACTTGAATTTTTTTAAATAAAATTATCCCCCACACGCCATATAAAGTACAAATGAATAGATTTCGCTCATTGTAACAAATCAATTATGGCAAATAAACTTCTATCAACCAATTTGGAACGATTTCTTTGACGGAATAAATATTCTCCGCTTACGCGTTAATAGAGCGAAATATATCGAGCGTTAATTGTCCCAAATTGGCCGAAATGGCAATATTTAAACCCCCATAACTTTACAAAAAATGATCACAGGTGAAATATCTTTTCAAGTTTAAGCTCAAGGCAACAATACCTTTTGAATGATATAAAAAAAATTCCGTCAAAAATGGCTAGTTAAAAAGTCGAAGTTTGTCTGAAGAAAAAAAAACCCACCGCGAGCACAAATATTCCGTTACTTTCGTATCGAAAGTCGGAATAATAACAATTTAGCTGTTTGTCCGAGTGAAGAGTTAGACAATGCAATTATCTCCTCTACAATTACACTCGACTTGAGTGATATAATGTGCTTGGTTTAGTGTGTGTCGCACATATCTAGATTGAAGGGATCTGATCAGTTATTGTTTCCTGAATATTGTGAGCTGTCTATTTTTGCTGGGGCTATTCTCATGCGCGAAAGACCGAATGCGGGCGAAAAAACTCGTGTGCGAATGACCGAAATTAAAATTAGCCGAAAGTCAAATTTTAAAAAGAAGCAACTGCCATTCAATTAAAGGAAGCAATATTTTGCTTCTTTCATAACGAAACTCTTCAAATATAGATTTTTTTCCAATTCGGCGGCGTCAGTGACAATTTGGTAATTTTGTATATTTCTGCCGTTTTTATATTCGGCCAATATCGATATTTAGTCCATGGAAATGTTTACTTCGCGTATGAGGGATTCCACCTACTTTTACAAGCTGTCTTGTTACGAGTTGTCGTTTTCTGTTCAAAAGTTTGCGATATCTTCAATTATGGATCATGTTTATCGAAGCAATGTCGACTTTTTCAAAATAATTCCGCCATAACTACAGAAGAATTTGAATAGCTGTAGTTTTGCTAATTGCATTACTCGAAAAAATATATACTGTTGCCAAAAAAGGTTTTTCGCGTAAATTTCAGAACTTGGTATAACATCCCTAATTGGCCAAAATTTTTGATAATTTTGAAAAACTTTCTACGTCAATTTAATTGAATAAAAAACCCGCAAGTTTGAGCTTAGCTTCTCTTACAATACGTATTCATAAGCATTCAATTTTACCGCATTTAAATATAATAAAAGCTTTTGATGTTTTTGCTCTTTTGAACAGATAATTTCAACTTAAAAAAATTTACGCAATCTTCAAAAGTTGTTGATTTACGAT